TTTTATTATTATAATTTTTATAATTTATTAAGAAATTTTATGACTTTAATTAATGATAAAATGATTCAATTAGTACATAAACATATAAATTTTTAAAGAATTTTTAAAATATTATTATAAGAAATTTTTTAAAACTTAATTTTATAATTAAATTATTTTAAAAACCTTTTAAAAAACTTAAAATATTTGTTAATAAAGTTATTAAATTATATTTTTTATATTACTAAAATTAATATTTAATATTTTATAAAGAAATTAATAATTATTTTTAATTTCGCAAGCAAATTTGCCTGCTAGACAATCTAAGGAATAATAAAATAATGCACAAATCAGGTTAATATTTTATTTTTAATATGTAAAAGAAGTCATGAATCCCAAAACTAAAACTTATCTTTGAGTATAAAGAGCCTTTATTCCTTAGCGTATTTATACAAAAATCTCAATAATTGTGTCAGATCAAACTAATAAAGTTATTTTATCAATAAACCTCATTGCATATTATCTAAGCATGAACTTAATCATCTTATCAGAAAATCTTCCATTTTGGCTTGACTGCCTTTTTTTTCTTATTGGCTCAGTATTATTACCTAAAGAATTCATCACGTTTATTGGGATTCTGCCAATGTGTTTCTTCCTCTGTCATATTAAGCAAAAATAGCTAATGATCTCTCTACATATGATTTAAAAATTACCAATAAAATCAATGCATATGTATCTGAAATTAATAATACTTTCATTGTAGAGATTGGCAAAAATAATGCTAGTTTTACTAAGGAACTTACTGCTGTAATTGAAAATTTTAATGCAAGTAATAACAGTTTTTCTTTGAAAGCAAATGGGATTTTTAGCTTTGTTTAATACCATCACAAATAAACTTAGTGAAACTAAAAAAACTCTGAAAACGCATCATAATAATTTTTGTGGAATTTCATCTGAATTTATATCAATCAAAGCTTCTATTGAAATTCTTCAAAATGATTTAGCCCAATATTATGCAATTATCTGAAAAGCTGATTTCAATCAACAAAGCATTTCTAATGAACCTAAATTGAAAAATTCACTAGATTCTGTCTTAGCTTCAACTAGTTCAAGCTCTTTTTCTAAAGATTTCAATTTATCTGAAATTTTAGATATTACTTCAGACATTAAAATTTATTTTAAATAATACTTCAATCAGCTTATAAAAGTGAGAAATTATACTTATATTTCTCAGTAGTAGTAGATATTCATAATTTTAAAAGAATTTTAAGATTTCAACAATAAAAAATTATTATAATGGTATTAGTAGCAGTAAAGTTAGCACCATTAATCAGATAAATTCATAAGTAGTTAGTTTTAGATAATAGAAAGAAACTGTCAATTTTATGTGTTATGCTTGACAGGTATTTATGTTTTATTATTTCTTGCTTCTCTATCATTTTATACTTAGCCAGCCTTTTCTTATGTATTGCTTTACAAAAAATATAATAAATAGCTTTATTTCAATTTTTTAAAACTATTTGTGTATTTTATAAGTATGAATAATAATACATTTGCAAATTGTGTCATGTAATTTAGGCAATTACAGTCAACCCTTGATATAACGAATTTTATGTCCTGAACTTCAACTTTGCTATAGAGCTATAGTGAATTTTTTA